ACAACTAGGCATTTATACCCATTCTAAATATGGCTTATAGTCAGCAGAAGGATCAAAACTTATCAACTTTTAAGGAAAAGTAATGGTGCCACCCTTTTAAATAAAATTTTTAATGAGCATATATGTATCACTTTTCAATTATAGTGTAATTAACTGGATGGAAATGAAAGAACCAAACACAAGATTTTCTTGAGTGAAGGAAAGTAGAATTTTATTACCCACTAATCTCCGAGACAATATAAAAATGCAAGATCAAATGCACACAATGCAGGTTATAAATTTAAAAAGAAGGAAGTGTCAGGAAGAATTGAAACAAGAAGTCCTCAGAGCTTTGAGGTGTTAGATTTTAAACCTGAAGCCTAAACTCTGCAGCAATGGTGAAGTTTATAGATCTTGAGTTCTCAATGAATGTCCCGTACTGCTTTTTCACCAGCAACTTACTAGTTTGAGAGAGACAGGTAGAAAGAGTTTTACAGCTTCTTGCTACACTTCATATTTCTTTTTCACACTCTGCTTTTCTACTTGAAGGAACTGCTGATATTAGGCAACTTGTATGTTTTTGAGATTGCTTGATTTCCCATCCAAATGAAATACTCCATAGACAACCTTTCCTCTCCCAATATTTGAAATTACCATACATATGCAAATTTAACAAGATGCGAATTTCTTATTGTTGACTTTCTTATCTGGTTCCTCTGAGTGGAATTTTCCCAGACCCTGAACAATGGGGGCAATGGCGATACAATTGGAAACATACAGTGAGAATAGAAACATGAGATTCTTGATGACATGAAAATAAAGTCCCATTTTCTACATAATGTTTCATGTCTAAATGACAATCTCATGCTTGAGCAGAAAGGGGTCTATTTGCTTGCATTAACCTCTCAATATTATCTAATCTCATTTCAGTTTTATGCAGGTTGCTATTTTCCCAGAAAGTGGAGAGAAAATAGATGATGTCAGCCCCCAGTATGAAACTCAGAGCACTTACCTGGCAACTGCAGCTTGCTGGCATCTTTTCTGGACACCCATTGCAGCCAACGTTCTCCAACACTTCGGGGCACACTCCATGGGCAACAGCATCAGCAAAGCACGAGCCTCACGGTAGCGCGTCTCTGACTGACTTACAGCACTGTTTGGTATTTCAGTGCTATACTTTAGAGCTCACTGACACCTTATATTGTAATGTTGCTGTCAGACCATTTGCATGAAAGGGCAGGCATTGGAACAGTGTGCATCTCAGGGATCTTTGCATACTTTCGGAGTACTTATTCACTTTGCGCCTACTTAGATATCCACAACAACTCTATTTTGCGTGCCTTGCCTTTTGGAATATTGCTGCTTTATTCAGAACTTACAGGTTCACAATACTTCTGCTTTGCCTTGCTTTTTAGTGCCGACACAAAGCCAGGCAGCTTGCCATATTTACCAGCAATGATCTGTGAAGAGGTCAGATATGTTGCTGTATGGAATCTTGCTCCATTAATATCAAAGCTACACTACATGCCTGCAGAAACATAGCATGTGCTTCAACCAAAAGACCATGTTTCAAACTCCAGCAGGAATGGTCCTCAGTTAAGTCAAGGGGAACTGTTATAAATCAAGGGATCCTAACACAGTCAGTCAAGGGCCTTGTCTGGCCCTCGGTTCTGAGGCTTGGACATAGCCATTTGGCCTTTTGGGTGATCAGGGTTAAGGGTTTCATATCATTACAGTCTGAAAAATGGGCTATATCAGCTTGCAAGTCCATAATCAGGGGCCATTGCTGTGGTGAGGACGTTGGGGGATGCCAATTATGGGGATTGGAGGCAACATGCTGGCATGCTGCGAGGCCATTAATTATGACGGGGGGCAACACAACATCTAATGGGGCGATACAATAGAGTATGACAAGGCGGGGGTTACTGCGGGAGGGGGTATCATTTACCTATCACCACCCTTGCTTCAATGGCCAGAGAGTGCATAAAGATATTTGGCAGAATTAAGCTATAGGCTGTGGTTTATGGGGTAAAGTGAGAAGATGGAAGGTAAAATACAAGGGGTGGATGACAGTTTGGGAATCTTAAACTTTTTTGGATTGAGGCAGGGTTTGCGGGGTCACTTAGATTGACAGGCTGAACTAGCCACTCACACTCTGAGGCAGTATTTGTGTTGCTTTCCACCCCCATCTGAATCGCAAATATGCTATATGGATTTGAAATGGCTGCGATCACACCTGGAGTGGAGAGAGTAAGTGGTTCAGTTTACTGTCTGAACATGTGAGTTTCCCTGTGTGAGTGATGTGAGACTCTTCAAGGAGCAATTGCATTAATCAAGGACTTAAAAGTGCCATGACATTCAAAGTATATAAAAGGTGGACACGGATTCTGAAGTTCCCCCAATCTATTGTTGGATGATGCTCAGTCTACTGTTCTAACTCTGTTGGAACGTTAGTTGGGTTAGACAGTGAAGTGTGGGTGGTGGGTGGTGGCTGTGCACAAGGAGAAGCACAATTTTGCATGGTTTCTGTCTAATTTGTAGTTGAAGATCGGGAAAGCCCCAGGTAAATAGCTCCCAATTAGTCTGGAGCCAAGGAATGTATTCTAACGAAAATGTTCACTGATTTCACACTACACATACACTAAGACACAACAAGTACCATAACTGAGATTTTAAGGATTGACTGTCATTGGAAATGTGGCTAGAATAATGGAATCTAATGAGTCATCTCCAATTCTGTAGTCTGATACTGATACCTTTAAGTTAATGATGGGTGTAGACCTTCTTCATACATACTAATCTTTAAATTAAATGTTTACTCACTTCACATTTCAGCTCATTGCCACAAAGTGCTATCCAAAATAAAAGTTCCTGAGAGGCTTTACAAGTAGTCAAGTACCTGGTGCAAATAGCCTATACACTCCCAGTCAAGGTAAAAATTAAACTCCAGTGGATAGCTAAGAATTATAACATCATTTGAAAAGAATCTTTTTAAAATTTTATACATAAAGCAGAATCAAAGGAATGAATTGTAGAGATCCAGCTTAACCCCCAATGGTCTAAACAGAGGTGGGGAGTGTCATGAGAAGACCAGCTCAACTGGCTCCAGTCAGACAGTGCTGTTCCTGGTGCTATCCTCTTTGGTGAAGTGCAGCCTGGAGCCGAGGAAGGTCACCTAGCCCCATGAGATGAGATGTGAGCTAAGCTCATTAACGGCCTTGTTAAACTTAAGTGTAGGAGATTAACTGGCACTTTGGCTCAGTTTCCAATACGATGGGTGAACAGATCAACTGTCTGCTTCCATAGGTGAGGTTACAGCCAAAGGCTCAAATTCACCCCCAACTTCCTGACAATCGTGACTGCTTTTTCTGCCATTGAAGTAACTTCTTTAAACACTGGCTGAAAGGGCAGCCTCTTATTGAAGTGCCCTCTCAGTTACTTTCCTTGTGCTGCAGCCGGTAGTCTCTCTAAAATTAATCCTGTAACTTCAAGACCCCACAACTCCTAAATGAGCTAGGAACCTGTCTCAATGCCAGTAAAAGGCTCATTCACTTCACAATCTTAAATCAGCAAACCCACCAGCCCCCACAAAAGGGGGTTTCAGACATAAAAACAAACCCAGTTCCTGATACCCATCTCCGTGCCAAAAATCCACACGGATTGAAGGGCTTAACGTTCTACCTGGTACTGCCAAGTACAGCAGAGTTGACAGCACTGCTTCAACTGGAATTCATTGCCAATATTAATGAGGAAATAAAAAGTAGCTTCGGACCAGGTGAGGCTAACCAAATTTCTTTTTCTTTTTCAGCAAAAGTAATATGTGGAGAAGACAGCAGCTTTGGGCTTCGGAGCCAGTGAATAAAAGAATAATAAGTATGGCCTGACAAATGAAAATATTATATGGAAAAATACTGTGGAGCTCTGCTTGATTACCTCTTGAAATCAGCCAGGCAGAATTTCTCCTTGTGAGATTAAATAGGTGGGATGGAACCCATAGAGGATAAATTATTCCTGGTCTGTGAAAGCAGTGAAAGATTAAAAGGCTTTATTTTAAGTCCACATGCGTTCAGTTTAATTTCCACCTTGGAAGGAACTGGAAGAGTGACATGGAGATATGACTGACTTTTCATTCTTTCCTTGAATTTTCCACATTTTATGAGAGCCTTTTAATTCTTAAACCACATGCACTGTAATGAGAAAACAAATCTTATACTAGTCTTGTTCACCATCTGATCTTTTGATCTGAATAAACATTCACAGTCTAAGGAATATCCAGTTAAGAATAAGCTCCAGTTTGCTGGAATTATTGCTTTATCTGTTTGGAATCTTCCTTCAAGTTTTCTGTTTCGTTTCCCTTTTTGTGGCTGAAGATCTTTTTCTCTGCCACCTGGTCTGAATTACTTTACACTGGAATTATTTCAATATTCTAAAACATGATGCTTAAGAAGAGTTTGCAACTCTATAGCTGTAGCTAATGTACCTTATTGTTGTTAATGATGCTCTTGTGATTGAGTTATTCATTCAATCAATTCAGTGATAATGAAATATGTTTTGTTTCAGTGGCACTAGCACTTTTTACTATGCTAATTAGGACAATATGATTGAATATTTAATTTCTTCTTCTTTGTAGAAGAAACTTGAAGGCAAGAAGCTCTATTTCCTATTAACTTGGTGTTATTTTACTCGTCTTCAGGCAACATTTCAATCTCAATTTCTTAAACTTATTATTTGTGTATTGAAGGAGTTACGTTCATGGTCATTGTGCTCCACTCTTTTTGTTTCAGAAACAAAAAGTTTGGAAAATGAAGAATCTCCTTATCCATGTGGCAGACAGACTGATCGTAAAACTGATTGTATCAGTTGTTAAAACAGAAGTTTGATTAAATAAATTGCCAAAAAACAGAATCAACAAAAAAACAAAATGAGGGGAAGAACTCCAAAACACTCAGAGGAAACAGAAGGCACAATGGAGACTAAAACATTTTCACAGTGCAGCTTCCCTAGTAAAGGGTAGGGGTCAAGTAAAGATCAGCCATCTACATTGCTTAAATATTCAGTGTTTAAATATTTATTGCACTCACCCCAGAGTACATGAAAGCTGGAGATAGGAAGGTTCTGAGGACTTAGGTTACTACCAATACAGAATACATTACAACGACAGAGCATGTCTGTACAATGCATAGTACCATCATCTGATGTAATGCATCAAGACTATGCAAATTGAGATTTGGTTAAATTGTTGACTACATTAAATTCCATTATCCCCTTTGGAAATGAAAGGATATAGCTTAACAATTGCCTTCACTCCTATACAATAAATTCCCAATGAATTTCTTTGGAGTATTTCCAAAAGACATCCAGCTGAAAAATGAATGCAAGTTTATTCTTTCTTTTTCCTCTTTTGATCATGTTCCATTGATTTGTCTGATGGTCTGTCTGAACTAAAGGGACAAGTTCAACTTCCATCATAGGTCATGGACTATTTACACAGCAAGCTGCCATATTGTTCCATGATAAATCAAATACATAGAAATAGAACTTCCCAAGGCTGTTCAACAGCTGCAATGTGCCTGGGTTATCCGAGATGAACTATAATGCCAGAGGGATCGATTTATGTGATTCTACACTCTCAGAGCAGGCTTGCTCTGTAGATTGGATACTGGTGGGAAAACAACAGGCAGAAAACAGAATTGTCCAAAGTGTGTCCTGTGTTTTCACAGGGAGATGGGAAACTACATGTAAACTTGTCTAAAGTTACTGTTTCACTTTTAGACTGCTCCAAGTCCTTGCACAATTATATATCAGATACTACTTTATTTCAACATCCAAAATAAAGTATCCTTCTTTAACTCTGACATTAACTTGTAAAGAAAACAAGAGTTATGTGTAAAAATTAGACAAAGGTACTCTTTTTAAAGAAAAGTACTTTTTAACTTATTCAAAAAATCAATCCCTTATACCTGTGAGGCAGCAAAACATATCAAAACATTTAAATGAATCTGCCAAAATGGAGATTACAATGTCTGCATAAAGCCACTTCTTCACACCCTCATAGCGTATTTGTCTGCATTAGGTAACTCTCATGGCTTCACACTTTGTTTGTGTTTATAGAATGTGACTAAACTACATCTCAGAAAGCCAATCAGCCTTCCCGTATTACTCTGATCAGAGAATATTCAACAAACTATAATTGAAGTGAAAAAGTGCTGCCAATAACCTCAATTTAAACAAATCCCTCCTTTGTGTGTAACGCTCTCATTTAGTCAAGTTTTCAACAATATGCTGCAGTTCCATGTTCCTGGAGTTCTGATTTTTCCAAGTTTATAAAAATTAGTTTGCTTAGGCACCATACAATTTGCTTGAATAAGATTTCACATCATGAAATGTGAGACTATTCCATTATTGAATGCTCCCAGTAAGGATTAGTGCAGTGAGTTCTGGATGGGAAATTGAGGGATTGCAAAGCTTGATTTTCAACATATTTAAACTTAAACTCATGAAGGGAATATTGGACTGTGGATTCCTATGCTTTCCAGACTTGGCTTCTCTGTGACTACTACTTCCTACTCCTAACATGAAATTAGCCCTGGATTGAATAGATTGAGGGAAATGAAGTGACATTAGTGATCAGGCATCAGCATTTGAAGAAGAATGTGCTAAATTCTGCTTCTAAATTGACTGCATTATTACTGTTGTGCCATATATGCCAATCTCTAGTTGCACTGGATGCTGCATAGCCTAGCGAGCAATTTTTAAAGGCACCATGTGTTATAGCTGCTATGGTCCCCAAAACTCTCCAGCACACTATATTACCAGCTTGATCTCACACTACCATCTGCGATTGTGATGTCCACTAACAGAAGTGACTTGTCAGTTGGCAAAAGTTCTCCAATTTTAATTTTACAAATGCAGCAATTTGGAGCTGTATATTTCTTTCGTTACATTCTTGATCTTCTTTGTAAAGTGTCACGGGATCTTTTGCAGTCATCTGTTTAGGGCAGATAGCACATTGGTGTAATCCATTATCCAAAAGAGATTGAAGCAATATCCCTTCTGTCCTGTACTGAAAAGAAAATCAGTCCAGCAGTTAAGTTCTGATGTCAAGTTCCATTAAAAAATGTCTATGTGAACTGTGGTAAGAATCTAGTGTTGTCATTTAACTTGCTTATATCTTTAAAATTTTCAGTACATTTTCTTTCATGTTAATAAGGTTAAAAATTGTTCTGCACTGATTTTACTGCAACTTATTCAGGGATTTAGGGCCTTCAATAGTTCCATTGAATTTATCCCATTTTCACATAAGATTATAACCAGAAAAGAATTGCAAAATTACTTTTACTATATTGACAATGAAACTAGATTGTCAAGAGGTGATTAATTGACCTATCTGTCTGGATACTTGGATGGGTTTTACTCAAGTAACTTTTAGGCCTCTATCATCTAAGATGAATGGGTGAGAGCATGTGATCCCTTTGTAAATTGTTAGTTAGGCCTCAGAGCATCCAGTGCAACTGGAGCTGGCATATAAGTCATGGCATTGGTATTGCAATCAATTTAGAAGTAAAATTTAATCCAATTTGAGTTTAATACAATTTTGGCTCTTTAATGTCATGCAGGTACATCCTGGAACAATCCAGTCAGTTCCAGTTCCTTGTTTCAAACTTGTTGTCCTGCAAATATCATCTATTTTTTTGAGATGTCCATCTAATTTCCTTCTGAAATCACTGATTGTTTCCCCTTGCAGCACTCTCATGGATTGCAAGTTCCAGCTCTTTATCATTAGCTGTCTAGAAGGCTCTTCCGCACATTCTCTCTGCATCTCTTGCCCTAAACCAAGATTGTTTATGTAGATCTTGCACTATCAGCTAATGAGTACAATTTCTCATTTTCTACCTTATGACAATTCTGTCATAATCTTGTATACTTCTATCAAATCTCCCTTCAATCGATTTTGCTTCAAAAAAGTGATGAACAGTGAAGTGGGATAGGCATAAATATTTGCCTCATGCCCTGTTTCCTTGTGATAAATTCTATACAATGTAAAATGCATGTATCTTATCCTTAATTGTGTAACTGAAATGAAGAGAGAAGTAACTTTCTTCCTGTTCTACCAATGACACTCTGTTAAGATTATTGAAGTAAGACATAGATTAGCTTACCTTGAAATTTTCTCTCTGAGCCTGTGGCAAAGTGCCTCTCCTCATTTCAGCTCCACCCTGATGACTAAATTGAGATTTGGGATTCGCTCTATGGAAAATAGTAGGCGTTAGCTTCTATTCTATCATTCGGCGGCACAGTGTCTCAATTCATCAATATGTCACCATTCTAACACTTTTGTTTATGTAACAGTGAGTCACTGTCATCAGAAGAAGTCTCCTACGCTTACGAAATTATAAGAACTAATATTTAAAGCTCATTTTACATTATAATGAGATTGCTGTTTCCAGTACGTCACCTCCATCTTCATGTTGGAGAATTTATATTATTTTACAGCTTTAAAATGAACTTTAAATCAAGTAACGAGCTATCAGTGAGACTATTGCATGTCAAACCACCTTCTTGTAAACGAGAACTCAATAAAGATGCACAAGTAAACTAAGGAAGGGAAGGCACAGTTGTGGCTTACATAGAACTTCACTTTAATTCAGATGTATGTTTAAATATCTTGAATATCCAAGAAGTATGAAATGAGATGTTTCTTCAAGGCAAGGCTGACAAATTAATATTATTAGTCTGTTATGCCATCAAGCAATTTCATCGTTAAGAAAGCAGGAACTTACAAGTTGCTTGCAATGATAAACATGTGGGAGGGGATAATTAGACAAAAGCATAATGAGATAATTACAATACAAAAGTTCAATCTCAAAGCCTGTTCCTGCTTTTATAGCTCTTCCCACCTACTCTTTATTACTATATACTATATTAATTCAAGTCTTAGTTTAGATTTTCTAGGGATGGTTTGTCAAGCACAACAACACTGCATAGCGAGAATGTGTAATTGTGCAGCAAACTGCATTTGACACATTAAAGATGAAGATAGTTCTCTAGTTTTCTCTAGGTCTTGCAGATGTGAGTGCACATTCTAGAAGTTATGTTATAACAGATGAATTAAGAAATGCAACTAAAGCTGCACTGTCAGTGCAGAAACTGAATGGCAAATATTCAACTGGAGAGCAAGAAATATTCGTCTCATCTACACATATGAACATTGTCCCATGTATGTTAATGGGAGAAAGTTCACTCTCTGTACTAATCGCCAATTACAAGCTACATTGTTGTTTACATCATTAGAGAAGAAGTAGGCCATTCAGCTCACTAAGTCTTTACCTGCATTCAATAAAATAATGCTAATCTGATAATTCTCAATGCCACTTTTCCGCTTTTTCTCCATAACCCTTGATTTTCTTAAAATGAAAATCTATCTATCTCAACCTTGAGTATACTTAATAACACAACCTCAGCAGCCCTCCGCAATTAAGAATTCCACAGATTACTAACATTGGAGAAGAAATTCCTCCTCATCCCTGTCTTAAATGCTGGCTCCTGACACTGAGATTATGCCCTTTGGTCCTAGACTTTCTCACAAGGGGAAAGAAGTTCTCATCATCTATTCTGTCAAGTCCCCTAAGATTCTAACGTTTCCACAAAGCCACCTGGCATTCCTATGCCAAATGAACGCACACAAGGGAACCGTAGATTGAAGTCGGAAATTGTGGGTTGAATTTTTTTTACCAAGAATCAACTCAGCGTTAATTCTGGGGAGTTTCATGGAAGATCTCTGTCTGGGAGTTCTAGGGAGTTCTGGCATTCAATTCCCTGAAGATCACGTCATTATGTATGACACCGTACGCCCATTATTGTGTTCTTGCCTACAGTGGGCATGCCAGGATTCACTTTACCATATTTCAAATGCAGCTGTGTGCCTGGCCAAGTGCTGTCAGTCTGGAGCTGCTCTTCACGGTTCCTGTTTGTGAAGAATTACCCCGGAGACATCTAAGAAAGGGAAGTCAGCTGCCCACTTTACCAACAGGGGCGTGCAGGTCCTGGTGGGCAGGGTTTGTGCAGAAGAAGACCATTCTCTTTCCCCAGGATTGGCAGAGAAAGCCAAGATGCCAGACTCTGCCAGCTTAGTCCTAAATTGCATTAGGCTGGAGGAATGCCTGACAATTCAGGAAGAAAGTTAATCGCCTTCTTCAGTCATGGAGTGTAAATGCCATCATTTTCTCTCTGCTATCTCACACTCATTCTATCTCTTCTACTGCATCCATCTCACATCAAGGCTTATGGTGTACCACTTTTACTACTTACATGCAACATCATTTTTCACACACTCTTACTACCCCAAAGCCTCCTACAATATTAACCCTGGATGGCCTCTGTCTTGCCTACTCACTCACTCAGGACAGTTCACTACCTTTCTCCCACTTGCACCAATACTAACAGCTGTGACAGCCACTTTTCTCTGAACTCATCCTTCCCTTTGTGTCACCCCAGGAGAAAACAACGTACAATGGTATGGAGCGAGCCAAGACTTGTTGTGGATACCTGACATCCGTCTCCTTATCCCCCAGGAGAGAGGATAGAGACCGCTTATGTAGTGATGCTGAGACATCCAGAACCTTACGTTTACAGCAGGAAAAGTAAGATTCATTACAAAGTGCAGTACTGTTCTCCCATTACAACTGTGAATGTATTCTTAACATGCCCAAGCTTCTAGCCTTATTTTGCAGCATCATTCTCTTTTATCTCCTGCTGGCACCAATGGCATCTGCCCTTCTCTGTCCTATAGAGAACGGCCAGTTAAGATACCTTCTGAAGATGAAGATACAGATCCCTCAGAGAAACCACTTGCAAGTTTGTGTCCTGCGCTCTCCACCAGCTCAGATACTTGCACCTCGGTCGATATGTTCACTGGAGCACAGTCAAGAGCAAATTCTGGTGAGCTCATCATTGCCACATCTCTGCCACTGGTCAAGGAAGAAATCCCCACTGAGGTCACTAGAACCTGTGGGACTACCAGAGACCAAGCACTTACTCAACCCAGGGCAGCAGGAGAATGCTGTCAGCCATTCATAATTTCACTCAAATGTTTAGGCAGATACAGGAAAAGGAGGCAGGATTAATCAAATGCTCTGGGCAAACTTATTCGAAGGTTGGAGGAGCCCACCAATACTGCTTCTGGTATGTAAGTGTGATGGCTGCAATAGAGAGCCAGGTCCAGCACTCTCAGTATCTGCTGGGTATGCACACAGCTCTGTTCTCCATTGTTGTAGATACTGGTGTTCAGCAAATGGAAGGCAATTGGGAACGAGGAACATTGCTCTCACTCCAGCTGCTCCTTCTTCACAAGGAGAAGGATGAAGCCAGGAGGTACCCTTTGGAGGAGAAACTACATACAGGGCTCTCAGATGTCACTTCTCGGGACACTCCAGAAGTGACTGGGCTTTCCAACTCCACCCTGACTTCCAACCTCCACCCTTTCGGTGGTCAGGTTGAAGAGGATGAGCCTGCATTTAGCCAGGACACACTCAGCATCTCTGTGGCTCTCCAGCCACAAATGCCCATAGGGCTGAGCACCCAAAAACTCAAAGTCAACAGGCTCCACTATAGAACAAGTTCCATCCACCCTAGCTGCAGACATCAGGACTGCACCTAGATGTAATGGGAAGAAAAAGAAGAAAAACTTCTCAGGGCACATAGGTGGCATGGGTAACACTTCATTGTCAATATGTGATCACATTTGTAAATATATGTTGACTTTCATCATTACCATGTGTGAGTGACTGTCAGCTGCAGAATGAAAGCAGAGAGGCTGAACATTCTTAGCACTACATGATGTTTTAAGCCTGTCTGAACAATAGCTGTCCTTTTTACGCACCCGTACCAGCATGAAACTTTGTCATGATTCAATAAAGAAGCCATTTCTAACCTCAAGTTATATTAAGCCATCTAGAAATATCAAAGTGTTAGATTGTACTTGCAGTTGGGATTACACAGGGAATACTAGGCTCAGTAGCATTGAAACATTTAGAGTCAGTGAGAGGTGACTTCCCGCAGTTCAGTTCACAAAGAAATCCTTCCAGCTTTGCTGTAGCCAATGCTGCTGCACTGTTGGATACTAAAGGAACTGTTCTGTTTGAAGAATATTCTTATATTCTTACTTGGCACAATGCTGCAGGTTTCTTGGATCCCCATTGTGTATTCCATAGCTTCATTGAATCCTCCAGTTGTTTGGAGTGGAGGTTCCAAGGATCAAGCAGTATCGTCTTTTTGGATGGTATGGTACAAAGCCTCAGACATGATCTGCAGGGAAACCTGATGTTGAGGGGACATCCTGTTGCCTTCTGTGGCCCCACTGGAAGAAGGTGTTGAATTGCAAATATACTGGGCAGTTTGACATGGTTTTCTGACTGCCACCTCTGGGACAGAGTATAGCATCATTGTCCCTCACTCATCTGCATGGCATTTCATGCTGGACAAACAAATTTGCCGTGGCATGAACATGAGAATACAGGGTCTAAGAGCATGAGTAGGCAACTCAGCCCCTTGAGCCCGCTCTGACATTCAACATGGTCATGGCTGTTCTCATCATGACCTCAACTCTACTTTCCTGCCTTGTGTCCATGACCCTTCAACCGATTACAAGTCAAAAGTCTGTCTCGCCTCCTTAAATTTACCCAATATCCCAAAATCTGCCGCAGTCTGGAGCAGTGACTTCCACAGATTCACTACCTTTTGAGAGAAGTAATTCCTCCTGATCTCTGTTTTAAATCTGCCATCCCCTATCCTAAAACTACCACGTCTTGTTCTGGATTATCCAACAAGTGAAAACATCTGCTCACTGTCTATTTTGTCAATCCAATTTAGCATCTAATAAACCTGAATTAGACCACCTCTCATCCTTTAAAACTCTGTGAGCTGCTTGATCTCCCCTTATGAGCCAAGCCCCTCAGTGCTGGAATTAATCAAGTGAACCTTCTCTGAACTGCCTCAAATGAGGGTACCTATGGCCTCAAACTTTGCAATGTGGTTGTCTCCACATCAGCTGGATTTTGACACTGGTACTGGGCTTCAAATTCATGTAACCTTCATCCATTTGTGTAGCAGCCCTTTGTGCAGTAGGCACAGGGATGAAGCAGTTTAGTATGCTTAGTATGCAATTATTTAGCAGTCACAGCATACACAAATAACATTTGAACATAGTCCTCCATACACTGGGACGAGTCAGCCTCTAACAAGGAGGCCAG